GGGCCAACAACGTAAATTTCAAACTAACAGTAACACAAATTTATTTTCAAAAAATACAACCGATATGTTATTGACATATTATAACATTTTTTTAGGATTATTATTACGTTTATTTTTAGTTTTTAAGTTAATTTCACTATGTACACTTAGTTCTAGAAGCTTGTTTATTTCTTACTTAAACATTTATTACGTGTAGCATTAATTAATTAATTTAATTATCACAAAAATGCTCTAAATATTTTACGACCGTAGAGTACCTAAATTTATTTATTTACCATTAGCATAGAAATATCCCATTAAGTATAGAGTACTACAAAATATACAATCAGTTTCTACAGTTTTAATGCACTATTACCGACATGCTTACCAATTATCCTAATTAAGAAAAAAGTTTTCACACGATAGTATTTACTTTGACTTCCATTTGCAAGTTAGATTAAGCAAGCACATACTTCGCCAAAGCCTTAATTCCTTTGTTAATACGCTTACTTACCGTAGGAAATTATATTTCAATGATTTTAAAAATGTTCCTACTTTTAAATCACAAAATATGAAAAATTTTCCATTTCCCAAAAAATGGGAAACACGAATTGAACATCTATCATTCTTCATTGATAAAGAGCACATGAAAATGAAACAGACTTACCGTACAGAGAATACTACATAAGATATCTCCTTAAAGTTTTGAAAAATTTTAAACAATGCTCCAGACTTAACAACGTCATGAATTTTTTTTCAAATAGTTACACGGTGATGCTAAATTTTGTATTTTTTTATTCGAACGCGTATACATTAGAAAAAATAGTTCTAATATCCACTCAACAAATTTTTTCTTACAGATTTTTATTAATCAACGTTACTGTTATCATTATATTACGGAAGTAGTGCTGTAAATACAAGCAATTATAATTGGCCTCTATATATTTCTCAATAGTTAAAATGACGGGATACGGAAAAGTTATAGGTTTTTTAGATTTACTATATGTCTTGAAAATAAATGTAATTAAAGTAAATTAAGATTATTTTACCATATTATTTGAAGGTTAAGCTGTCGGGTGAATGGATTATATTCTTTCTTTGATGCCTACAAATTGTTTTTCTTTTATTCATTCAATCAACCGTTATTAACTGGAACCATTTATTAGCACCGATTTGCTACTTTTACATACGCATTACATACCGTTACAAATAGTAACTCGCGTGACCATAGTTCAGGCAATCAGATCACGAATAAATTGGTTTCACTTTCAGATCCATTTCTCTTTTTTTTATAAAAGGATTTTTAGAAATATAATATTAATTTTATCTTGCCCTATAAGTCCAGCATCCTTTTCATCGTCACAACTATATAGCCTGATTTTGTCTCGAAATCAAGCAATGAATCTCAAATCCATTGAAACCACATGTATCGAATACGAGAAGAAGGAATCAAGTCCAAAATAGGCATTCGCGAGCCCGCGGCTAGCAACGTGGTGGCAGGCAGCAAACGGGATAATGCAATAAAGGTCCCAGCGAGTCTGAATCGGTAGCGATTACTCCGTAGAAGGAGGCGGTTGAGCGTGAAATTCCAAGAGCCGGCCAAATCGATTAACATCTGCAGGGGACAGTCGCCGAAGTTTGCGTTGCACACGGAAGCCGAGTGTATATTTGTGTATACATAAAACTCGGACTAGCCATTTTGTGCGACAATCGCTCGAGTTGAGTATTGCATATTGGAGAATTTATATTTCTTCGCAAAACAATGCAAGTAGTAAAAAATGATTACGGTCAGGCGCAGATCTCGTTACTAAAAGGTCGAATGGCGTAGCTTCGATTTACTTTAGTCGATTGACTAAAGTGCACGTGCACAAGCTTCATGGAACATAGAAGCTTGACTTGGAGCTTTTTGAATAGCAAACCTTAAAATACAAATTCATCGTTGACGCTTCAGCTGGATTATGTAGTAAAAAACTGTCGAGCAAGCAGTGAATGAAGCACAGCGACACGTTACAGACTAATGCTAAAAGCTAAAGTAGAGGGGGGAGGGAGGAGATTGAGTAGAAAAGCGAGTTAACCGGGCAGAGACTCGAGGTGTGGGCCGGTCGACACGGAGGGGAAAGAGGAAGGGAAATGAATGTCGTTATATAGTCGAGTAGCCTGCGAGCGACAACCTATTGTTTACCGCAGAGGATAAGCCCGATTTTATTAAGCCCGAATAATTATATTCCGCGATGTGAAGCATCGACACGCGCGACTCTCCTCTCTCGCTGATAACACAGGCCTGCAAAATAGAGAGTCGTCACTGTTCTTTTACAACTTACGGTCATTTCCGAAGTAATTTTTGGCGTAGAATTATAATCCGTCGTCAGAATTGCTTCATCACGTCAGGTTTTTGAGTAATCGTCCCCTAAAGGTCGAAAAAACACGTTTTTTGGCCATATTCAAGGCTTGATTACATCGTGAGTTTATATTCTTTTCAAAAACGGTTGACGGCATCTTAAAGAAGCACTCTTACCCTTCAAAACCCATTTTTCAAATTTAAGATATCATTTTTTTTTATCAAGATATCATCAATGGAAATTTGCCATTTTTGAGGTTTCACCATGAGCTTAAAAGTTCGGCCAATTGTCCTGGAAGAATACGATATATTTCTTAGTTTTTTTTTTTATAATGATTCTAGAACGATGTAATCAAGCCTTGAATATGGCCAAAAAACGTGTTTTTTCGACCTTTAGGGGACGATTACTCAAAAACCTGACGTGATGAAGCAATTCTGACGACGGATTCTAATTCTACGCCAAAAATTACTTCGGAAATGACCCTCAGTTGCAAAAGAACAAAACCTTGCAGGCCTGTGTAATGACGCGCCGCCACCGTAGCTGATGATGAATAAAGGAAACGACGCATCATTGATCAGGATTGTTATACGGCTCGAACGTTGTCACGCGCTTAACGTAAGTAATGAAAGGTACAAAAAATTAATAATTTCTCGGAGAGCAATTACAATCGTATCTTGGCGAGCGATAAACTCACGTACACAACGTCGGACAAGAAGGCGCCGGAGCGACTCCTCATGAAGCGTTTATTACCGTTTCCCCCCATTCTCTCGGCTTTTTGTTTCGGATTAAGGGTAAAGTGAGTGCGAGCGGGTTTTAATTTTTTCCTTTTTTTCTTCTTCCCCGTCCCCACAAATGCCGGACTTTCCCTTCTTTTTTGCTTTAGACCGGAGAGTGCATTATTACGGCGAACAAATTTAGGCAGATGCTCGTTATGCTCGAGACTGCAATTTCTTTGCTGATATATATTTGCGGTGATGAGTTGGCTGATAGTTCGCGCGCTTTTATGGTTTCTTCTATTGGTATCGTTTTCAGCAATATCTTGCACGGCAGTTTCTGTGAGAAAAGTTACGTTTTCAAAATAATCCTTTACGAAAAAAATCTGCAATTCATGATAATGCACTGACGAGAGAAAAGCACAACAACGCAAACATCGGGTTATTTTTCTCCCGAGGTAGCGTTAAATCGCAAAGATATACTCGAAAATCCACGACTCCATTAGCTTCATCCGCATCGGGCGATGAGCGGCGGCGGCGGCGTTGTCGGCCAGCGAGAAAAGAGGAATAGAAAAAGAAAAAAGAAAACGCTGCTGCGGCCAATCAAATAAAGTAGTCCGGGAGCTCGCTTTCGCCATGGATGCAAATCCGGCCTCTCATGGCTGGCGTAGCCTTTCCGTACCCTCAGGGGCAGAGAGAAAGAGAGAGAGAGAGGGGGGGGGGCTAATACCAGGAATACCTCGTATTGTTCGTACGCGCGCGCCGCACACCCTTTCCAATCTCGCTCACTTTTCATGATTCGCAGCGTGTGCGCGTGAGAGAGCGATCGCCTTGCTTTTTTACATTTTCGAAACTCGTTTTTGCCGACGCGTCTTCGTGCGCTGAAGCGAGCAAGCGTACCAAAGAAAATACCGCGACGGTAATCATCGATTGCGCGGGATGCTACGCCAAGAGATAGTCGCTTTTTCAACGCGGAAGCCAATCGAGCAGTGACAGCGTGGAGGCGACGACACTCGGGGCTTCTCAATTACAAACCTTAATGAAAACAAATCGTAACGTTAGTAGGCTTCAGCTCATTGGGTTTTCCCCGTGTATGTGCCAAGCTCGGCACCTGTTTGATTCGCGCACGAAGCTTCTGCTATTTGTCTATTTCGGGCCATGACGCGACGCCCCCCACCAAAAACGATCAATTTCCATTCGGTTGGGGATTCCCTCTGTTTTAAATCTGCCACTACTGCTCTTCCTCCCAGACTCTTCGTTTTTTTGCCGCAACGCTATCAATAGTGTTGTGATATTATGCGATTTTTCCTAGATTTTTTTACCCTTGAAAATCGCTTGGATCCGTTAATTTTTCATTTTGCTCTGAACAAATATTTGTTTAGCCAAAAATACTACATTTGCGTTGGTTATTTATGAAAATGCACCCTTTCATTTTTAAATCAACAGCAAAAATGTATTCGCATTCAAGAAATGATACTAGCCAGAAGGCACTCTTCAAGCGCGAACAACGCGCCCAACAGGATACGATCGATAAGGTTCGAAGTATAAATAATAATCGTGCGGAGATTATCTGGCGCAGGAATGTGCATCTGCACACACACACACACACACGTGGTCTATGATGAACGACTTGTTTATTTTCCTTCTACTCCGTCTTGTATCCTGCATCTTAGAAATGAGCCGATCTTCGACTTGTAATTTCGAATCCGCTAGAATTCCACTGCTTAATCTCGATGCTGCGGCTTAAGTTTTTTCTCTCGTTTTCTTTTTTGTCGTGCTTATATGGAAATACCTTTCCGACAAGGCAGCAAAGTTTTCGATTGCTTTTTATGGAGTTTGCGTAGATGAAAGTCTATCTTGGTGAATATCCTGATACGAATGAGTCGTATAGTTATCGATTATTTAACAAATTATCCAAGAATACAAAGAACAATGGAAGGAAATGACAATGAAATAAAAAAAATTAGATCATAATTTTTATTCAAAATTTCTGTGCACTCATTGACAAATATTATTTCAATTACGAGAAATTATCCGAAGATAGGACATAAAAAGAAAAACAAATAAGAAGAAAAACCTATATGTATATAACTATCTTCGTTCTTTCGTTTTGTTTTCCATCTAATTTTAAATTAAAAGTCCCACAAAGACGTACGTACGAGACTCAACTGAGCTGTACATATTACATAAAGCGTTCATTAGTTTACAAGTCCTCGTATCGAAGTCTTAACCGAGATCAATTACATACATGTATATATATATATACTATAGAAAAAAAGAAAAGCACACATTTGTTCCGCTGGTATCTCTCATCGACGCGATGCTTAAAATTTAAAAAAAAAATAAGAAGCAGCGAATAAGAAGGGACACAAGAATAAAGACAGTGGATAGGGAGGAACAACCACTTATACAAAAAAATCAATAAATAACAACGTGTCGCTCTCTCCGTCTGTACGAAGAACCGCTTGTACATCCCTTTCTCACGCTATCTCTCTTTCATATCGTTCGAACGGTAAAAGAACGAGCAAGCACAAGGCGCTCGAGGAACTCGTCGAACTTTCTTGTTTTTTTATTTTAGTTAACAGTCGGTCGAGGTTGCCCTAGCAGTCCTCGGTGCCTCGATTACTTCGAAGCTTTCCGACGAACCTTCACTGCTACTGCTGCTGCTACTCACCGTCGTTATAGCCGTTGAGGCCATCGTCGTAGTTAGCGTAGATGGCGATGTCTCGAACGATGAGGTGCCGCTGCTGCCGCTATTCGTCGTGGGTAACGTTATCAATTCCGTGGACGATGTTATTGTCGCCGAATCAATCGAGGCTACTGTAATGATGATAAAAGAATTTGTTGAACCTTACGTCTAAGCTAAATTAGTTTTTACTACTGATCACGCGTAACTTTTACGCAAACATTTCTACCAAAAAGCAAAATAGTTATTAAAAGTTTTCTAAAAAATTTGAAAAAAATTAACGAGTTTTATACGTAATTATCCTAAATTATTCTTCTCTCGCGAATAATTTATTCTTCGCACATACAACACCCTAAATTATACGGCATAAATGTTTCCTCGTTAAAAACTATGTGCGTGTATGTACGCTCATATAAATTCATTCCGCAGAAGCATCATCTTGAAATTGTATCGAAGCATTAATTTCAATCTAATTTTATTTCATATTAAGTATTAGTTTTACGGGTGTAAACAAAAATCGAACCTAGGCAACTCACGACTGTAGTGTCGAGTATGAAATGCTAATTGTTGCTTTCGAATAGCTCCGAAACGTGTAAATGGTAATCAATCTGTTAAGAGAACGCGATCGGTTTTGTTTTGAAGCGCGGGAGGTTATTTCCATTAAATCATCGAGGTAAAATACCTCAAGGCAAAACGTTCAAAATAGCAAGCATTCTACATCGATTGACACTCGACATAACGATTCGCGGAAACTTTAACAAAAGCATCAAACTCGTATCTATCGCAATTTGCCCCGTGCTGAACTAAAACAGTTCTCTCATGAACACGTTCTCATCGCGAGAAAAGCAGCATCGACCGCGGAATCGTATGGCGGTGCAGGTGCGACTGTCTCGTATTTTGATATAACCGCGCTGCGGCACAGCCGTGCTGCGCTTTGCACAAAGGCATAGACAAAAAGAGCCGCGACACGTTATACACTCCCGCGCTCGCGCGTTAATGTTACGCGCGCGAGGCTTTGAGTTTCATGGCTTTCGAGCCTGCGGCTGTCGCCCGTGCGCAAAAGCAATTATTACCAGGCGATTCGGATCGCTAGGGGGCCAAATTAAAAGCTTTTATTTCCGATCCGACGCACATTTTATCAGTTGGAATGTCTGTTTAGATTTACGCTTATCGTAGATTACGTATCACGAGAAAAAAAAATCACTCAATCCTCCTTCGGTTTCAGCAATTAGCAGAGAACATTCGTTCTACGTTTATGATGAAGAACGATTCGCTTCTAACAATCATTAGCAAAGATTCGCGTCTGATAGTTATGAAAAAAGATATTTGAAATGCCGCAGACTAAACAATCTTAACTTACCACCACTGTCGACCGCAGCCTGAAGCCCGGGATGAATATCACTGAGATTATCGATCCTCGACAAATCACTAATGTAATCCTGTTGACTTCTAGTCTCAGCTTGCTGTTCAGCGGCTGGCAGCGACGCAGTAGCAACAGCAGCAGCAGCAGTAGCAGCAGCAGTAGCTTGAGCATCGTTCGACGGAGTAGTTGCTTGCATTGATGGTTGTTGCTGTCGGCCTCCTTGACCTCCCCCAGCAGCACCTCCACCCGGTTGACCAGTGGCATGGTTACGGTAAAGCAATTGTTGCAATTGCGCTTGCTGAAGGATCATCGGCAGTTCGTAGTGGTGGAAGAAGTAGAGCATTGAATGCTGAAATACAGAAGTTGAAATTTAACACTCCGCATTCTCATTTCCCAAACTTCGTCGCATTGGAAAGTCAGCGCCTTATGAAAACTACTTTGGACGTATAGAGAATCAAATAACCAATTTGAGGCAACAGAAGATCCGAAGATTAATAATAAATCACGCGTCCAGCTAACCGAGAGAGAGAGAGAGAGAGAGAGAGAGAGAGAGAGAGAGAGAGAGTGAGTAAGTGTCTGAGAGAGAGAGAGAGAGAGAGAGAGAGAGAGAGAGAGAGAGAGCGAAATCGGATCTAGTGCGTATCCGGAAAGAGATAACGCCCCACGAGAGTAAAACGAAAGTGGAGACGTGCGTTGGGGACGTAACTTTGTGGGATCATTTTTCTTGTTAAAATCTCTCGCAACCCCTTGGCGTCCATACGTGTAACTGCAAACTTTCGACGAATCTGAACTGGCCACTCTCCTCATGGTAATTTAGCTATGTTCAATTGGGAATAGGTACATTGTAGCTGCTAAGCCGCTAGCTTACCTACTTATTGCAATAATTTAATAAAATTACTGATTTTCATCTTTTGCATTCGAAAAATGCTCCCTGACTGAGACTCATTCGCAATTCGATCTGATTGCTACTGTGGTTAGGCTGTAATTAGCCGGGGCAAGAGTTGGACTGCAGGAGGTGTTCGTATAAACTTAGTTGTTTTGACGTTGAGGTCAGCTCTGTGAAGCTTGCGGCATAGAGCCGTACACATACGTCTCCAAACTTTTATTGTACTATAATTGACATGATTAACTTTGGTGTAAAGTCTACACTGAATTGCCAAGCTGGACACACCAAATAATTTGAACAATGACTTATGACAAAAGTCATCAAAATATTCAGTTTGCGCAAGAGTCGTAGTCGGGAGCGGAGGAAGGGAGAGGGTTAGTTTGATTGCAAGCACGCGGACGTCACAACGCCGCCAGCAAATTTATATGGAAATTCGCCAAATTTGTTCTGTGCCTTGGTTCTCGCGTGACATTCTTTTTTATTTTTTATTCCTCGTCTCTGCCGAGTTATAGAGTCGAGAGAGAGAGAGAGAGAGAGAAAGAGAGAGAAAGAGAGAGAGAGAGAGAGAGAAAGAGAGAGAAAGAGAGAGAGAGAGAGGAAGAAAAGTTGTCAGAGAAGCTAATAATATCGAAACGCCAACGTGCACAGGTCAAAGGAAGCAAGGCCTGATGGAATTTTCAGATCGCGAAGACGTTAGATGACGAATATGGCTTTGTGTGATATCAATGTATTAAAATAGAACTTATTTCTTATTCATTTCTCGACGGAAAAAATATTGAAGTTCAAATGTCGAAATTAATTTCCTTTTTCCAAATAAAAAATGACAAAATTAAATACATTTTCTTTAAATCTATTTTCAAAATAATCTTGCGATTCACACTAGCATGTAAGAAAACGTTTTTACTTATACCGCCATCATTTATTTTACATATACAGTGTTATACAAAATCAAAGACTACAGATGAAGATCATAATGGTGCAAACGAGTGTTCATGCATTTAGCGATTCACGGTCCGAGATAAGACTTCAGTTGTCATTCTTCTGTTCGCGATATCCCGTTGATTAGTTTGCCAAGCTTTATGACGTATTGAAATATTGAAGCATTTGGCTACTCTGCATCCAAATCAGCTTAAAAGTTAATTACTTGAGAAAATAAATTTTCAGAAATCACACACTCAAAACGAAAGAAGAAAAAAAAAAGCAGACACGGCGATCGAATTTTCACCGAGATGATAATGATGCTATGTCGTGGGGAGTTGATTGTTACCGTTTCGCAAGTTTAATTGTTCACCCCAACTCAACAACTCTGTTATATAGCGTCCAAAATCAAAATACAGTAACGGTAGTATAACCCTTTGGGGTTCTGCAGAAGATGAGAGAGAGAAAGAGAGAGTCTCTTGCCAGATATAAATCTGTTAGTCCTTGATGACTGGACAATCTCTTTTTTCTTATAGTGCAATCGATATAAGATATTATAGCCGAGCACGTTTGTAAATTTGAGAAACTACTGAACCTCGCATACAATACACAATACAACAGTTTACGTAACAGCATCGACATAACTGAGAGTAGAGCAATTAAATTAATTATTACGACTCATCCAGTCGACATAGTAATATATCGCTATCTGCTGAAACAAGAGTACGTCATCGTTTCGGTGAGTAATGTCTCTGTTGTAATGATGTAACAAGGGAAACAAGCGAAAGAAAGAGGGAGATCCATTACCGTATGTTTTGCGACGAGGAGTCCCTGCGATTGACATTCAAAGAGGCAAAATTTGCCGCTACGATACGACGATTGACAGTTTCATCAACAAGAACTTTTAGCGACGATTTAACGATCATCATTTTCAAGACACAAAAGAATCTCATTTTCCACTTCAAAGAATAAACGTGCTGGTTTGTTATGGAAAAATAACAGTTTCAACGTACCTGTATGAAGAGCCATGACGTGACGAGTGCTAAGCTACTGTACTGCCCGTTGAAGCGATACTGATAAGCGTAGAAGGTGAAGTGGTACAAATAGAAAAATCTGCAACAAACCAACACACGTTCCAAACATCAGTTGGCGCGTACAAAAAACATGTTACGAATATTAAATCTCGCATAATGCTAACCGATCACCCTCGAATAAAAATCATCCTTTCTGTACTACGTAAGCTCACCGACGCAAGTAGCAGCTCGAGGAGAAGTAAGCAGGTGTGCTCATTATCAGCCATTATCGAGATTACTCTTGGCGTCTAGAACTCAAGGCTCTCGTGTTACATTAAGAGCTGGTGACATACACGCGCGCACACGTGGCGATGTATTACTTGGCAGGTCCTCCTTCCCTAAACTAATGGATGCATCGCCTCGCGGATCAGATACTATTGGATTTCAGCTACGGAGCTATATCCTCTATGCCTAAACTAATGGTATCCCCACGAACTGAATGCGTGGGGAGCAGCGACAACGATGACGACGACGACAGCACGCCGACGCCTGCCAGCAACGGAACGGATTTGCAATTGGCTGCTGGCAATTAACCATGGTTTCGCTTCGCGATATGTTGCACGTTGACATTGATTTTGCTGCTTGCTTGTTTTTCGAAATTTGGAGGTTGCGCGTTGAGCAAACAATTATCCAAGCGATGAATTCCACGTAGTAATCACTCACGAGCTCGCACAATAGCGAGGAAAATCTGAACGGACACAACGCACTTTACGATCCGGAGATGATGACTGTAACGTAAAATACACGTGAAGAAGACGGAAGATTCATAATCAAGCACAAGACTTTTACGAGGGCTACACGCGAAGGCATTGCTATCAATATTTGCGGATCAACGACGAGAGAGAAAACACAGACAAGACGGCGACTGTGGGTGTAGTGAAGAGGGAGAGAGAGAGAGAGAGAGAGAGAGAGAGGAGAGAGAGAGAGAGAGAGAGAGTGAGAGAGAGAGAGAGAAAGAGAAAGAGAGAAGGAGAGAGAGAGAGAGAGAAGAGAAAGAGAAGAGAGAGATGAGAGAGAGAGAGGAGAGAGAGATGAGAGAGAGGAGGAGAGAGAGAGAGAGAGAGAGAGATTGATTAGCTGGTAATTTATTACGTGATGCCGTACGTGCGCAAACGTTGCAGTCGATTTTTGGTGTATTGGCTTTTTTCGTGGATTGGCGCTTTCCCGCACCGTCGAATAGCTCCTATAGTAGTATTATCGTTATTTCAGCAGTCGACAAGTCATCGAAACTTCAAAGGGAAAAACGCCTACCCATGAAGTAGGGTACAACCATATACCGCGTGAAAAAGACAACGCGGGAGCTTTCAACCGTCTTTCTTTCACTCGCATAATATTCACCACGCATTCATGCCTCACGAGACTACTCCCCTCTTACTATCGTTTGGCTGCTTCGAAAAAATCACAATTTATAATAGACCCGACAGATTTACGAGCTGCGACAGCAGCACAGTCGCAACTTTCTCTCTCTCTCTCTCCTCCTTCTCTCTCTCTCTCTCTCTCTCTCTCTCTCTCCTCTCTCTCTCTCTCTCTCTCTCTCTTTCTTTCTCTCTTCTACGGCGAAACTGTCAAGTTTAATCTTGGGCGACGATGATGCAGTCTTAATTTTTATGAGCTTCTTTTTCTCTCTCGCATGTATGTATACGAGTCACCGCAGGCGACATTAATTAAACTAATGTACACGAAGGAGCCAAAAAAATCGGAGGGGCTGTAGTGTACATTATGAATCGTGTTTCGTTTATTATTCGCCTTTTCGTGAAAAATTCTATTATCGTGTTGTTTTATTTTTCAAAAGATTCACCGATCAAAAGAATCGGTGGGGGAAGAAAAGAAGCATATGTGAAAAAATACCCTGCCCCGCAACAAATATCTCTCACGTATACATCGTATTAAAGTCATGCGTATTCGATTTTTCTCTCTCGCACATCTTCATTTGTCTCAATTTTACTCACTTGCGGATACGCGCGCGCGCACGCAAACACGAGCAACGTCGTCATTGATCCCTCGAATGTACACTGTTACTGTGCGAGGGAGACACGCCCACGTACGATAATTGAACGTGCGCGCCCGTGTGTGTGGTAGCTCATGCAGCCTCGCCATATCTTCATAGCCTAATCATTAAAGTTATTGTTATCGTTAAAACTCACTGTACATTATATACGTCTGGAGAAGAAAAAATAAAAAATGTTGCCGTCCGTTAATCTCGTTCAGATGCTTCCTTCTTCTACACCAACTCTCTGGAGAAGGATTGAAGACACACACTTTGTGACGAGCGTAGAATACGTAACGCACACGCGCATACTCGGCTTCTTTTGTGGCAGCACATTGTCGATGACGAGCAGAGAGTATATGCATGCTCTTATGGTCAAGTACAATGGTATGCTGATTATGTAATCACGTTATAGGCTCTTTCCCCTCACAGAGATTACATGTACACGAAATGAAGGCTCTCCCCAGGTTTCGGACTATATACCATGAATTTTCTTTTGGCTTCTCATTCTCTTGACTGTATATTGTGTTGGCTGATTCAAACTTATGATTAATTATTAGCGAGGGTACTTTGAACAATTACTTTGAACAATGGGGTTGCGTGAGCTTAATCGCGGCATGACTGAATGATAGGACACATTTGATGTGCAATAATAGGCAGACAACCTAATCACATTTTTATTTTCAATCAGCTTCATTTCGAAAGTATTGTAAAGAAAACTTTTATCAAGACAAATCTGAGAATCCCTAACATAAGAACATGAGATAAAATTAGCGGAAATAATCATAAAGATATATAGAGCAACGAAGGGAGGAGAGGTTGATTACTTTGCGGCCTGCTCGTGTCTCGGCGTCGGGTGTAGAGTTGCAAACGCGATCATGTTGGTGATGTGGTGAATTAGTATGTCGAGCTGCTTCGACATAGAAGCATCACACAAGGATTAAGTGACAGGGGAGCATGTTTAAGGTGGCACGTGGTTATATAAAGCAGATATACTGCAGCTACTCCACAGAGTTAAAGCTTACCTGCAATTAGTTGATTGTCTCCATTCAAAAAACGACTAATTTCTGTTTATTTTTACCGTTTAAATCTGTAGACTAAAAAATACATTTAAAAGGTAATAAGAAAATACCATCAGACAAGTGAAGCTCAATAAGATTCAAACTATCCTATCGTGCGAATTGTAAACTTGGGAATTCGAATTTCGGAGGGGTTCTTTTTTAGCTCTCATGTGTTTAAAAGTTGACTGGCCAATCTATATTATAATTGACGCGCGCTTTCTTTTAATAATTTATAGCTAGATATATACAATCAGAAATATGAGCAGGTCGGTTAAATGAATGACGATTTATTTTTGTAAATATATTCATTGTAATATACTCATTGGAATTATATTTTTACTCTCACGGGTTTCAAATACGTATTTGTTTCGTTTGAGAATACAAATACCAAAATTGATTTGCTGTAAATATGGTGTGCATTAATTACACTGTAGGTGCTTTAAAAAGCTAAAGAGATCGCGTTGATGGTTCTAAAAGAGCGGACAAACAAAAATTTATGTTCCGCGGAAATTTTTTATATTAAAACAAACGATGAAAAATCACCACATCGAAATAAATATTTACGCCAATGTATATTTTTCTCTGGAAGCCTTTGAACAAATTCAAACACAATAATTTTTTTCACCTGCCAGGATAAAAAAACACTGATGAATTTTCAAAAGCTAAACATCGTTGCCTGCTTTATATAAGTATAAGTATGTATGTAGTAGTGCGCTCATCAGTAAAAGGAGAAAAAAAGAAAGTTAGGAGTAAAAGTGACAAGGCCGGAAAGAGAAGCAAGCAAGATTGGCTCCATGGTGCGGCAGCCTTCCGACATAAGTATATTGTCAATCAATCCACGAACATAAAAGCAATCTACGGTCAGCGGGACGCTGCTGCTGCTGGCATCCCGCGGGGCGTCCACCCACCCCGATGGATGTCGAGAGAGAAAGAGCGTAAACAGCTACCTATTCTTTCAGCTTTCTTCTT